CCCAACAGTCCTCCATGTACCGGAGCCCAGCTCAGGATGAGGGCAAGGTCTAAGGATGGGTGTATGCAAGAGTGGCAAGGGGAGGAATCAGACATAGAACACTTCTTAGTTGCATTCTGGGAGAGAAGGACAGAGAAGAAACACATCCCCTGTAGAGATACAGGCTCAAGGAAGACCACCAGCTCATACCGTCTCAGGGTAGCCTACCATGCACTGATGTAAGGTCGGGTGCAGACATCCACCCTGAAAGAGCCATCATTTTCTCATGTGTAAGGCACAGGGATGGGCAGGAAGGAAGGGTTCCTACCAACAAAGAGAATCCTCCCTCCCTTCATCTGCCATCTTGCTTACCCGACACCTAAGGAAGATATGTCCCTAGGGGTGAGTCTTGGCCATGTCATCCACTGTACAGTGGCAGGAGCAAACCCTTAAGCCCCAATTTCCTTGTCTCAGGACACACACACACACACACACACACACACACACACAGAGCCAAAAATGAAAGGAATGCAGCTGGCCTCCACAGGTGAGACCGGGTGACATCCAAGCAGCAATGGAGCCATTGAGGCACCCCAGGCTCCTAAGCAGCTGGGAGGTCAGAACGCTTTACTAACAAGGACTCAGGATTTGCTAAATAATTTGTGGTACCCTTGTTTAAAACAACAAACAAACAAACTGTTGAGCATCTGGGGATCAGTAGGTAAGAGTGTGTGCTGCTCTTTCAGAGGGCCAGAGGGAGTTCAACTCCCAGCACCTACATTGGGTGGGTAGTTAACAGTTGCTTATTAACTGTGGCAGAATCAGAAACTTGTCCTTTCAACTAGGCTGGAAGACTGGGGAGCTCTGGAGATCAACTTGTCTTCTTTCCAGTGCTGGGGTTTCAGCCTGTGTAGCTGTGTCAGACTTTTAAAAATATGTAAATATTTTTAATATACATATCTTAAATACATATATAATATATGGATATTATATATATCCATATATATGGATATTATATATATATATATATATTTAGAATTGAACCCAAGTCCTATGGAAGAGCTGCCTCTGAGCCGTTTCTCTAGCCCTATGTGTCAGGCTTTTTCAAATGTCAGTACTAGGGATTCAAATTCAGGTCCTCACGCTTGCAGAGCAAGCGCTCCTATCAGGTAAGCCATCTCCCTAGTCCCTCTCTAGCCTTTTATCTGACATTTTCACCTAGTTTTATAGAACTAGACTCCTGAGCTATTTCCAACCTCAGGCATAGACACTGCCTTCCAGATTCCACTTAATCAATCACTGATTTCCTCTTTGTAGCTCTCTTCTTCAGAGTCTTGCCATGGAGCCCAGGGTGGTATAGGACTTGTGGCAATCCTCCTGCCCAAGTGCTAGGATCATAGGCATGTAGCGCCACACACCTAGCTTACGCATGTACTTTTATGCACGCACTTATTTACTCTTGGAGAGATGTTTACTGAGGGTTGGCAGGGTGGCTCAGCCAGTGGAGAAGTATTTACTGAGTGCCTACAGCAGCTCAGCTCTTCTGCTGAGCTCACAGCAGTGATTGCTAATGTCCATACATCTATGTGTGCTTCCCACACCACTGTGGCGTCTGTAGGGAGGGGAGCTCCCGGCTCTATGTCGTGGAGTCCAGTGTGGCTCGAGGACACTGCTCCCATACACTGCTTATCTGCTTGCTGGTGGATGAAGGTGAAAAAAGACCAATAAATATCATCAGTTAGTAGTGAATAATTAAACATGTTCCAAGCTGGTCCTTGGTACTTGGTCCTATACTGCCTTTTTCAAAGGCATCTCTCTCTCTCTTTCTCTCTCTCTAAGCTTCATGTGGTGGTACCCACCAGGAGAATAAGATCATCCTTGGATACAGGGGAGTTTCAGGCCAGCCTGGGCTAATGAGACCCTGCTTCAAACAACAATAAAATGAAAGATATCTTTTAAAAAGCCGGTGTAGCAGTGTCTGCCAGCAATCCCACCACGTGGAAAGTGAAGGCAGGAGGGTCAGGAGTTCAAGGTTATTCTTAGCGAGGCGGTGAATTGCAGGCTAGCCTTCGGTGCATGAAACTCTGCTTCAAACAAGTAAAAGTTCTTATTTTATTATTTTATTTGCTCCTCAGTGACAACAGAGAACTATATTTTAAAGAAGAGGATTATTACTTTATTTGTGTGTCTGTGTGCACGTGCCTGAGAAGGCCAGAGGTGTTGGATCATCCTGGAACTGTAGCTACAGACAGATAGCTGTGATCCACTGACGGGGTTGCTGGGAACCAAACTCGAGTCTTCTGCAAGGGTGGGATGCACTCAAAATTGCTGAGCCCTCTCTCCGGTCCTCATAACCACGAACTATGTCTTATTGGCGTGTTCCTTCCCAGATGAGGACTCATTAGAATACATGGTCACACAGCTGAAACACTGCTCACATGGAAACGCAAGTGAAAAATCACCCAGGGAGGGGCAGTGAGTGGCTGCTGAGCCTGTTCTTTGAGACCCTCAAAGGGCTAGAAAGCTGGTCCACTGGCAAAAGCACACCGTACTGTTCTCGAAGAGGATCTAGCAACTCCATGTCAGCAACTCCAGCCCCAGCTCTTGCAGACTCTGTGGCACCCACACTCACAGGCACACACCCACTCACAGAGATACACATACGCACGTGATTTTTTTTAAACCCTCAAAAAACAGCCAAATAACCAAGTAACAAACATAACGAAATGTCAACAGGGGAGGCTTGCCCTCAGTGAACGTCACCCACGAGTCACACACAGGTATGCACCATCACAGACTGAATACACTGTGTAACAAGCACCCGGGAGCCAGAAGCACTAGCAGGCCCTGGACCCAGCATCCTCCCTCAAGCTTAGACACTGTCCTGACTCCTAAAATCCAGTTATACACATCTAGCAACTCTATAAGCATGAAACAGAGGTGTTTGGTTCTTTTTCCTAAGACAGGATTTCTCTGTGTAGCCCTGGCTGTCCTGGAATTCTCTGTGTAGACCTGGCTGGTTTTGAACTCACAGAGATCCCCCTACCTCTGCCTCCCAAGTGCCGGGATCGTGTGCCACTATTTCTCCAGCTAAGATAAAGACCTAACTTTCTTTCCCCCGAGACAGAGTCTCATGTTGTCATAGCTAGCCTGGAACTCTCAATGACACACAGACCTTCTAAGTGCTGGGAAAACAGAAGGAGAGCATTGTACCCAATTTGTTTTTGAAGGCAAGTAGCATGCAAACTGACCTGGTACTCACTAAATAGTCCAAGTTGGCTTTGAACTTCTGGGAATCCAGACTGATTCCCGATGATTAGTACCTAGCTCTGGTCTGACTTCTTTTGCTCAAAGTCGTTTGTTAAGAATCATCCATATTTGCTGGGTGGTGATAGTGAACACCTTTAATCCCAGCACTTGGGAAGTTGAGGCAGGCAGATCTCTTTGAGTTCGAGGCCAGCCTGGTGGGCCTACAAAATGAGTTCCAGGACAGCCAAGGCTGTTACACAGAGAAACCTTGTTTTGAAAAAAAAAAAAAAAAAGTCACCCATATTCATTTTATGTAGTTGTAATTTAAAAAAAAAAGTATTTATTTTTATTTTGTGTGCATCAGAGTTTTGCCTGCATGTATGCCTGTGTGAGAATGTCAGATCTTGGAGTTACAGACAGTTGGTAGCTTTCATGTGGGTGCTGGGAATGGAACCCAGGTCCTCTGGAAGAGTAGTAAGTGTTGAGCCATCTCTCCAGCCCCTGTAATTGTGAATTATTCATTGTCAATCCAATGAATGGATATGTCACAATTTTATCATCACAGGACAGTTTCCAGTTTGAGACCATTCTAAACTTCGCTGCTAAGTAGAAGTACCGGTCACTGAGTCCTTTAAAGTAGATTTCCAGGATGGGCATTGTGTGGTGACACTCAGAAGGCAGAGGCAAGCAGATCTCTGTGAGTTTGAGGTTAACCTGGTCTACATAGTGAATTCAAGGCCATCTAGGGCTACATAGCGAAACCCTATCTCAAAAACAACCAACCAATTAAACAAACAAACAAATAAAAAAACCAAATAAAAACGCAGATGTCCCCTTGGTGGTTGGTCTTACCAGAGCAGCGTACAAGCCTTGTAGTTGCTCCCTTTCTTGCCAACACTTGGCATGGTCAGTCAGATTTTCCCATTTTAGCTGTTCTGAATGAGCAGGACATGTTCTAAATCCTCCCAAGTTTCTCAGATACATCTTAGGACCGATTTCTGGTTTACAGATGAGGACACCAGAGCCCTGAGAGGTGCAGTAATTCGTTCAAAGCCACTTAAACCTTGGCATGGACTTAGGGCTGGAGTGCCAGCAGGGCTGTCTGTCGTCTGACATCATCCATCATTTCTTGCATCTGTCCAGCTCCCTTCCGGACGTGGTCTTGTGTGGCTTCTCAGCACCGGGGAGAGATGGGCTCTGTGGCCCAGGTTTGGGTACTCTGGGCATGCATGGCTCACATCCTACCCAACTCTCAACTCTCCAGAGGGCTCAGGGCTTGAAGGGACCTTCAAAGTGCCGCAGAAAGGTGAGAAGCCCAGAGAGGGCCACGGTTGCTTGCGAAGGATGGGGAAGTTACAAACCATCAGCTTGCTCTCGGGAGGGGTGCAGCTCTGTTGGCGGAAGGTGAGCGCAGCGTGCCCCACAGCCACGGGCCCCGAAGAAGAGCCCCAGGGTGTCTAGCAGGAAAGCCAGGCGAGGGCGGGCGGAACCCATCAACCACCTCCAGAGCCCACCGCCAGGCCCTGGGCGGGGCGCGGCCCGCGCAAGGGGCGGGGCCGCAGGCAGCTGCCGACCAATGGTCGCACGCGGCGCAGGCCCCGCCCCCGGTCCCTGCTGCATAGTCATGAGGCGCGGGCCGGCGGCGCTGCGTCAGCGGAAGCGGCGCGCAGCGGCTGTTTCCGACCCGATAAAGCGGCGTTGTCCCCGCGCGCTGGCCGCAGCCTCGCAGCGCTCCCCCAGTGCCCGAGTCGCCGAGTGACGGACGGACCCGCCCGCCCGCCCGCCCGCCCGGCCGGCCGCCGCCGAGGGCGCAGCCGCCGCCCGGACGCCCCGCCGCCGCCGCCCCGGTGCGCCCGGGGCCCCGCAGCCCAGCCTCCAGCCAGCCCCGCCAGCCCCGCGGCCCCGGCCGGAGCAGACAGGTGAGCGGCCGCACCTGCCGCCCCGCCCCCCTCCGCGCGGCCCGGGCCTCGAACCGGCGGCCCGACCCACCCCGCGTCTTCCCCACCCCCACGCCCGGCCGCCGCAGCCCGCACCTGCCCTTGCTCGTCCGCATCTTCGGCCCCGCGGGCCGCGGTGAACGCCTCCTCCCGGCGCACCGGCCCGGGGTCGCCCCCGGCGCGGGGCGCGCACCCTCCTCCGCCCCCAGCCAGCCCTTTGCTAACTTGCTTGCTGGGAGTTCACCGCCCCGAGTCCTCTCCCCTCCACCCCACACCCCGAGCCACACCGCTCTCTATCCTCGTCGTCCCCCCCCCTCCACTCCCCACTACGTACATCAACTTGCCTCGCTGACCTTTTGCGGCCTTTATTTCCGCGAAGCCCACCTCGCCCCTGGAGAAGACGGGGGGGGGCGCTGCGCCCCAGGTGCAGACAGAGCCTCGCCTTTGCAGAAGCTCCCGTCCCTCACCCCACCCCAGCCAGACCCGTCTTCCTCAAGTCCCTTGAGCTTAACCCATTCCTCTCCCAAGGTGTGCTGCGCTAGATGGGCGCCCCGAGAGTACACTCCTGCGGAGTATGTGCAAGGTGGGGAGCACAGCCTGCTGGTTAGTTATTCCTAACAATTTTAGAAGTTGAAACGGCCGTGGGTGGGAAGAGGCGCTAGGTCTCCTGAGGAGTCTGGGTTTTTGTTTTTTGTTTTGTTTTGTTTTTTTTTTTTTTTTGCTTTCCCAGTGGGATACTGATGGAGTGTGTCTTTAACTTCTGCCTCAGTCTCTCCTTTTGGTACCCTAGCTGACTACACACTGGGATTTGCAGGTCCTTGTTACTACTGGGGTGTTTAAAGAAGGTGAGCGATTGAAGCAATCGTTTCTAGTAGTCGTCTAGACCCAGAAACTCAGAGAGTGGGCACGGTACACCTGGGTCGCCCCCCCTGCAGGGAGAAGTGTGTTCCCACACTCCCTGCAGCTGGCTCTGCTGCCTCCTGACAGGTAGGGTGTGGTGGAAGTCCTTCCACAGTTATTTTTTTTTTTTCCTTGTTGTAAGAAAGCATTCGTTAACAAGCTGGAGGGGTGCCTTACTGATTAATGGCTGGTCACTGGAACTGGGAACCTCCCGCCCGCCTTATGTGAACGCCCACCCCCAGTTTGCCGCTTCCATCTGAACCCTGCATGAGAAGAGCGAGTTGATTAAGGCTTTGCAGAAGCTGCTGAGAGGAGGAGGAGAGGCAGTGACCGTGGCCTGAAGCTGTGTGGGCTCCAGGTGGAGAGAGACCCCAACATAATGAGGAAATGCAGTGCTTTGGGGGAGAGGTTGGGGAAATAGGTCATTTGTAAATGCTACACGTCAGTAACATTCATGCTGATTGTGTGTGTGTGTGTGTGTGTGTGTGTGTGTGTGTGTGTGTGTGTGTGTGTGTGTGTGACTGCTGCTGAAAAGTTCCTTTGGAAGGTTTGGAATACCTGTCAGTATAAATGGGGGTGATTTATCTGGGAGACCGCCTGGGACTGGAGGGAGGCTGCCCAGGGCCAGCACCCAGTGCTGTGGAGGACTCGCTGGCTTCCCTTGCAGAGATGCTGTGCGCTGCGGCAGCTTTGCCCCTTGTCTCAGTAGGTCGTGAAAGCAGATCAGAGATTGGACTGGGTGATCTCCAAGGTAGCTTGCTTTTAACGCCCTCCAACTTTGCTTATTGGAGAGGAGGGAGCGGGGAAGGGCTGAGGGCGCTGTACACCGGCTCCTTCTCTGTCTGCCCTGCAGGGCTGCAGGGGAGGAGAGGGCTGTTATGCTGCAGCCTCTTGTGCAGTACAGGAGCACCGGAAGGTATTTGAGCCGGTGTTTAGGAAGGGTTGAAAGGATGTGTTGGGGTCCTATGTCCTTTCACTGTTTGGAGGGCTGGTGCCCCAGCTTTGTGTAGCCAGCAAGGGGTGGTTTGTGACAGCGTTGCGGCCGGCCATTGACTAACAGCCAGCGACTGGTGATCTTTGTAGGTGGCAGACAACCCCAAATTGCTAGTGCCCTCCTGGGGAACACCCCTGGCAGAACCATGTCTATAATTTTTGGAGCCAGAATGTGCTAGAAGCTGTGTTCTTGTTAAGAGTGGGTAAAGATGCTTCTCCCGTGGTTCCCTAGATTTTTTTTTTTTTTAAATCATAATGCAATTATGTCAACAAGGGTGCCCTTAGTGATATGCCATTTGGCGATTCGACTGCAGGCCCGGTAACAAATGTTCCTTGGTGTCCAGCGAAGGTTCAGTAGTGGGGACAACTTCATGCATGAAGAGCCATCGTGGGGGAAGACCCCCGTAATCTACAGAGTCTGCAGAAGGCTCAGTTGAAGCACCTCCCCCACCAGCTTCCAGACAAGCTCCTCTTGTTTGCATTAGTGTAACTGCTCCACCAAAGTCAATGAACAAGGGTCTTTTTAAATGGGAACTTTCAAAATATGCCTCTGGCGCCCCCCCCCCCCACTATCAAGTTCTGAGCCCTGTGATACTCATTTCAGAGAAACTTGAGGCCTCTTCCATGCTGGTGGAAAGAACAGCCCTGTTCCCAGTCTCATTCCAAGCACCTTTTATACCTTTTATGTGAAGGCTGGAGTGAGTGTGCTGGTGCTGGGGCTTGTTATTGTTTGTGTGTGTTTGGGACTTTTTTCTTTTTTAAAGACTGGGTCTAGTCGCTGAGACTAGCCTTGAACTCCTGATACTCCTTGCCTCTACCTCCCAGGTGCCTGCTCCCGACAGGTGCTGGAATTACAGCCAAGTACCACCATGCCCGGCTCTGTGAGGCAGTTTTAAAAACCTGTAGCATTAGGAAGACCGATGTAGCAGAATTGAAAGTTCAAGTCTAGTCTGGCATACATAGGGAGACCCCTCTGTTTTAATTTTTAAAATGTATTTTTGTTTTTATTGTTTTAAGTAACATGTATGTGTGCATCTTTGTGTGGGTATATACATGAGTGTGTAGGTACCTGCAGAGGCTAGAGGTGTTAACCCTCCATCACCCCGGAGCTGGAGTTTCAGATAGTTGTAAATTGTCTGACATGGATGGTAAGAATCAAACTTGGGTTCCTCCGGAAGAGCAATATGTGGTCTTAACCACTGAGTCATCTTTCTAGCCTGGGGCCCTATTTAAAAAGAAAGAGAGAGAGAAAGATGAGCTGGCAGACTCAGCTGGCATAGCCCACTAATGTTTGCTTGTTTATCACTGTCAGGTTCCTCTTGTTCCTTTACAAGGGTCCACTCTGTTCCCAGGTGGCTCCTTGAGATCAGTGGCCAGCCTTGTGCCTTCCTTGGAGGGTGTGGGTGTTAGTGCCTCAATGTCAGGCAGGCATTATGGAGTGGCTGAGTGTGTATATCAACAGTGATGGAGTTGCTGGGCTCTGGAGAGCTGTGGGGAAGGGCACAAAATCAGAGCCCGGAGAGAGAATGGCCCCAAGTTCTTGTAGCTCAGCAGCTGCTTGGGTGTGGTTGTTGTTTTTCTTTATAATTTTTATGTGTATGGATGTTTTGCCTGCATGTATATATCTGTACTATGTGTGTGCCTGGTGTCCAAAGAGGTCAGAAGAGGATCTCCTGGGGCTAGAGTTACAAAGGGCTCTGAGCCACTATGTGGTAGCTGGGAATCGAACCCAGATCCCCTGCAAGAGTGACAAGTGCTCTAACCACTTAGCTATTTTGTAGTTGTTGCTTTTTTGAGACAGCATCTCAGGTAGCTCTTGCTTGCCTTGAATTCACTATGAGCCAAGGATAACCTTGAACTTCTGATCCTTTTCCTTCTACCCTTCAACTTTTGGGATTCCCAGCATAAGCTGCCATGCCTGGCTTGGGGTTCTTTTTAAAAGGGGCTAAGGTTCTCATTCATTATCTTGCACGTCCTTATTTTGTGCTAGGTGAAGCCTCCAAACACAGGTCTGAGGGTGCCAGCCTGCCCATGTAGAACCCAGAACCCTCACTTTCCCTGGGATCTGCTTTACCTTTTTCTTTCTTTTTTTTTTTTTTTTTTTTTCAAGACAAGAGTTTCTCTGTGAATCCCTGTCTTGGAACTCACTGTGTAGACCAGGATGGTCTCGAACTCAAGAGATCCATCTACCTGGGATTTAAGGCATGCACCAACATTCCCTAGCTGCTTTACTTTACCTTAAGATTGGCTTTCTTGCCTTTTCAGGCCTAGGAGACAATGTGCAGAGCAGGCCTCCCTGTCTTTAGCGGAACCCCCACATCTGTGGAAGGGTTTGCCCTGCTGGGAGGTTGAGTAGGACAGGGTGCGAGCTAGTTTCCTGCTGTGCCGAGATCCTTCATGGCCAACAGGTCCTACATGACCAACTCCTGAATTTGCAGCCACATGACTTGGTTAGCCACCACATCCCCCCAAGGGAAACCTTGAGTAAGAGAAGCCACACTTTGAACTAGAAGATGAAGAGGCATTAAGGTGGGCATGCATTTGGTTCTGTGTGGTGGTCACTACTTTGTGTACAAGTCTTACTTACTGCATAATTTTAAGCAGTCACTTAGATGTTGTAAGCCAAAGTATAATAAATAGCTCTCTGTGCCAACAACTTAGTCATCATTTGAGGGATGTACAACCAATCAACAGAGTTTGACTTTTTGGTTTGGAGTAAGGAGAGAGTATTTTTCCATCAATTTTTGGAGGACAGGGATTGAATTCTGGGCCTCTGGTATGCTTTTCATTTTCACCACTGCACCTACACCACCCCTGCAGCTGTCCATCAGCTGTTTGTGTGTGGTGTATATATGTGTGTTCACATGTGTGTGTGCAAGGCCGAACTCTACCTTTTGAATCAAGGGTCCCATACTGAACTTAGGAGCTAGCCGATGAGTTCCAGGCGTCCTCTTGCCTCTGCCTCTCCACTCTGTCTAGTGCTGGGGTAAAAGGTGTGCACTACCATGCAACTGTGTAAACGTCGGCTTAGAGGACATAGGGTTAGGGTTTAGGGTTAGGGTTTGGTATTGGCTCTTTCTGACTTTCTT